AAGAGTAATCAAATGAAAGTGCTCAGCCATTGGAACGGGCTGCCCAGGGAGGGGTGGATTCTCCATCCCTGGAGGTGTTTTAGGATGGACTGGATGTGGCATCAGTGCCATGGGCTGGGAACCACAGGGGGGTTGGATCAAGGGTTGGACTTGATGATCTTGGAGGTCTTTTCCAACCCGGTTGATTCTATGATTCTGTGATAATTGCAAATAAGTTTCCAATGGCACATAAGTTTCTAACTGCCAGCACCATCACGATCTTGGCTCCATTGCACCTGGCATTTAATTTGTTACTCGTAAAAGATGCCACTGGTGTTCGTCTGGTGGAAGGTGTCCCTGCCCATGGCAGGGGGGTTGGACTGCATGGTCTTTATGGGCCCTTCCAACCCAGACCATCCTGGCATTCTGTGATAAGGTCACCTAGAGGGCTGTGTTCAGCTGACACTGAGGCTCTAACTCAGCTCAAGGCGTGGCTGTCCCGATTGCCCCGCAGGGTGTCCGAGTTCAGCTGCCACATCTCCGGGTGCTGCCAGGTGTTTGACACACTGGAGGGCTACGAGCACCACTACAACAGCCTGCACAGGAACGTCTGCTCCTTCTGCAAGCGCTCCTTTCCCTCAGGGAACCTCCTGGATATCCACATCCTGGAGTGGCACGACTCGCTCTTCCAGGTCATGGCCGAGAAGCAGAACATGGTGAGTTGCCGTGCCCAGCCCTGGGCTCGGGGCTGGAGTGCACTTGTTTCTTCCAGCTAGGTCTTTTTTCCCCCTCCTTGCCTTTCAGTACAAGTGTTTGGTGGAAGGCTGCCCGGAGAAGTTCAAGAGCAGCAAGGACAGGAAGGATCACTTGGTGACTGTGCACCTTTACCCTGCTGACTTTCGGTTTGATAGACCCAAGAAAGTGAAAAGGTAACTGCAGAACTTTCCTCCTCTCCTATGAGGAAAGGCTGGGAGAGTTGGGATTGTTCAGCCTGGAGAAGAGAAGCTTTGGGGTGACCTAATTGTGGCTTTCCAGGGCCTGAAGGGAGCCTGCAAGAAACATGGAGAGAGACTATTTCCAAGAGCCTGGAGTGCCAGGACAAGGGGGAATGGCTTCAAAATGAAAGTGAGGAGGTTTAGATGGGATATTAGGAAGGAATTGTTCCCTGTGAGGGTGGGGAGGCCCTGGCACAGGTTGCCCAGAGAAGCTGTGGCTGCCCCTGGATCCCTGGAAGTGTCCAAGGCCAGGTTGGAAGGGCTTGGAGCAACCTGGGCTGGTGGGAGGTGTCCCTGCCCATGGCAGGGGGTGGAACAAGATGAGCTTTAAGGTCCCTTCCATCCCAAACCATTCTGTGATTCTAAGTGAAATGTGTCCTGCTCCCAATACTTGAGGGAGCAGCAGGTTGAGGATGGGAGAGCAGAGTGGCTTGGCCAGCCAGGGATGAAAAGGTAATGGTCACCTGTGGCATCAGTAGGTCAGCTAAAGGACAGTCCTCAGGGAATTGAGCCTGTGGAATGAGTTGGGCTTTTTGGAGTGAAGAGAAGGACCTGGGGAGAGAGCTGTGTGTATTCATTAAGTAATGGATACTTAAACAGAAACTCACACAAGCCCCTCTCTCTGGAGCCGAATCCCTGTGCCTCTGTGCACTAACTCATCCCAGCTGGACTTGTTTCCTCATGAAATATCCTTGGCTCTGGGCTTAAGTGGCAGCCACTGAACCAGGATGTAAAACTGTGTCCCTGCAGTGTCCCCAAGCACACGAGCTGTCCCGCGGAGCAGGGCCCCAGCGTGCCCATGGAGGTGAGCGTGGAGACGGCGGAGCAATTCCAGCTGGACCCCATGGAAACAGGGCCTGGTGAGGACATGGAGATCCCTCAGCCTGCAGCCAGCCCTGCCCCCTCGCTGCCAGAGAAACGGCTCTACAGATCCAGGTCTGTGCTTTGGCCTCCACAGGCCAGAGAGTCTTACCAGCCCTTGGCAGTGCTCACTGTGTTCCTGTGCTGTAGGCAGGAGTTCCATGTGTGTTTTCAAAGGCATTTTTAAAAGAGGAAAGTGTGGAAGGGCAGAACAGGCCACTGCAGTGTTGGCAAGGTCCTGTTAGTCTGCCCACCCAGGATCTCTTCCCGGGGTATTGCAGGATGGTGCTTCTGCTCTCCTGCTCCTCACAATCAACCACTGCAACTGCCCAGTTACTACCTTTGGTAACACACATGGTTGGAAAAAGGGGAGAGGCCTCCAGAACAGGAATATGCGGAATACACAGGAAAGCCAACCGGGATTTCACCCATTTTTTTATTACTTTGCTCATTTAGATGTCCTGCTCTTTCCACTCTGGGAGCTTAAAATGCCACACAGAGCATCGCCATGAGGGATAGGCTGTTAATGTGGGTTAAAGTCTGTCTCCCTTTCCAGGATCCCATCCACAATTTGCTTTGGTCAAGGTGCCACCCGAGGATTTAAAGGACCAAGGAAGAAAGTCTGAAGGTCAGTGCAGCAGATCTGTGCAGGATGAGCAGATGTGAGGCTGGTGCTGCCCACGCCGTGGCCGAGCAGGGATATTTCCAGTTCCCACTCCACACTGGGAATAAGCCACCCAAACCAATTAAAGCTCCACCAGCATTTGAACACGGGTTCATGATGTCAGACTGAGTTGGGCCAACCTGACTGAGTTAAGAATCCTCAAGATTTTAGAAAGGGGAACCCAAAATGTGTGGCGAGGTGTTAAGGAAACTGTCCTGCAGCTGAGACTGCACAGGATTGAGTGTTTTATTTTTTTGCCTTTTGGAGGAAAAAACCAGATTCAAGAAATTCCAAGACAAAATCTGCTGACTGCATGGAAGCTGTGAAAAAAGAAAACAGGGCAAAAAAGGTGTTGGTCCTTAATTCTGACCTTCTCCATCTTGCTGAAGTCTCCTCTGCACCCTGGATCTCGCTGTGGAACCCACATGAAAGGTCTGTCTGGCCCAGGAGAAACATTTCCATGGGGAGTTAAAATAAAGTGACTTCAGCCAGGTGAATAAATAAAAGGAATTTTTATAAAATTGCTTCATAGAGAGTTTAAATGGCATTTTGAAGGCAGAGTCAGATGTGCAAAATGGACTTCTCTCCTTTTGCTCCCAATACCCCCAAAATCAGGTTGGGATGGAAGTTTTCCCTCTTGCCTCTCCTCCTGGGAAAAATTGAAAACACAGAGCCACTGGTCTCGGGGTCCTGGTGAACCCTGACACTCAAAATTTATCCATAAAGGGAAAAAAAGAGGTTGCTGGGACGATGTTTATCCAAGAAGCTTAGGATCTATAATTGCATTTTTTCCCTTCCCCCTCTGTATGAGGAATAGAGGATAAAAGGGGCTTTGGGAAATCCTTGCAAATGGGAGCAGGGAATGATGTTTACGGAGATGCAGGAGATTTCCCAGTGAGTTTTAAAAAGCTTCTCTCTGTTTAAAACTCAGCCGGCTTGTCCAGCCTTAATCCCTGCTCCTGGAGTGCTGTCTCCAGCAGGCAAGGATCCCATATCTGCCCAGGGACATCTTTCAGCAGGGACCAAAAATCACTTTCCCACACCGGGAGCCCCTAATGAGGGTATTTTCCCCCCACTGGGATATCTGGGAATGGGACTCGGGCCCCACGTCACTGGAGATGCCTGCAGGCTTTGGCACGTGATGGTACAAAGGTCAGGCAGGAGCAGCCCAACCCTCCCTTACGGGTTCAGGTCCACAAGTTTTGACCTGGGCATTCCTTTTTCCCCCGGGTCCAGGCCCCTGAGTGCCTGCCCTTGCTAATGGAAAACAAACTGAACTTGCAATTACAGCCTCAGGGCTCGTGACTGGTCTCTTCTGGGACACCCGCTTTTCCCAGAGTCCACGGGCAATGAAGTCTGTCCCAGCTGGAAAAAATCCTTCTCTCAAGCCAAAACTTGAATTTCCCTTTTTTTTTTTTGTTTTAAACACGCACAGAGCTGATCCACGCACAGAAATGGGGTGTCACCCATCACAGCTGGGGAGGAGCTTTGGACTCGCTCACGCTTCCAATTTCTGAGGAGAAAAAGATGCGTTGGGAAACATTCTGGGGATGAAAGCCCCCAAATCACCTGTTTCACTCCTGTTGCAGGAGAGCTGAAGGCACTGGTGTGGTGGAGGTGGATGCCAGGATGGAGAAGCAAAGGGAAGGGTCACAGCTGAGCCGGGGACACGCAGGAACCAGGCAGCTGCGCCAGCAGAGAGGTCAGAGAGGGTCACCCCTGCAGCTCCCCCCAGAGCACGAGGGAGCAGCTCCAGGCCAGAGGCCACCACCTTTCTGGGACACCTGGGAGTCTCCCTGAGCAGCAGGAACTGGCACCACCCGGGGACACGAGGCCGGGCAAAGTGCACAGCCAGGTGTGGCGAGAGGCAGCCATGGAGGGGTAGGTCCTGCCAGCCCCAGCGGGCACAGGGGGTGGGCAGGGTGGGTGCTGGGGGTCAGGGGGAGCGGGGGGCACAGGAACTGGGTGCAGGGTGTGGGGCAGCACCGGCCACACGGCTCTTGCCACTGTGTCTCCTCTGCTTCAGCCCAAGGCTCTGCAGCATCACCGTCCTGCTGGGCACTGCCCTCCTCCTGCTGGCACCCAGCAGCACCCAGGTGAGCCACCCCTCTGCTCCACCCTCCTGCTGTCCCCTCTGATGAGCAGGCCCACCCTGAGCCGTGCCACCACCCCTCTCCCTGCAGGCTCTGAGCAGCTCCGGGCGGAAGGGCCTGCCCACGGACTGGGATTTGGATAAGGAAATGTAAGAGGTGGACATGCTCCCCACACCTTCAGGCTTGTAAAAGCCAACAGAGCAACACCCCAAAAAGGAAAGCGTTTCAGGGGGGAATAAATTCCCCTTGGGCTTTGTGCCCCCTCAAAATTAAGAGGCTCCCAGCTCCACCTTCTCCCCCATATTGCCCAAACTCCCCAAGCATCGAGCCCCAGCTGGTTTCCCTATTCCTTTGGCTAAATTAGCCCATTTGCTCCCCAAGATATTAATTTCTGCTTCCTGGGGTGGGGGGGAATCTTGCCAGGGTCCCTGACCTCTGATAGGGTGGAATTCCCCTGGGGCAGGGTGGTATTTAGCAACCTTTCCTCGCTGATTTTGCTCCCCTCTTCCAGCATCCCGGGTGTGGATGTGCTGGAGGAGTGGGAGCTCTCCGAAGAGGTGAAACCAGGTAGAAAGGCTGTGTCCAGAAGGACCTGGCACCCCCCACAAGTCCAGGTAGAGCCAGAGGAGGATCGAGACCACCTCTACCACCCCCAGGACGACGCCAGGAAGGTGGATGTCCGTGAGCCACCCCGGATGCTGTCCCTGCAGGTGCAGAATGGCCCAGAGGAGGACCGAGACCATCTCTACCACAGCTGAGTGCAGATGTGCCCAGACTGTGAAATGAGGGGTGGGAGCTACCCCTGGGGCTCCCTTGGGGGACTCATCCTTCCCTACCCATCCTTGAGGCCCCCCCAATAAACCCACTCCCCTCTCCAATGTCCTGGTGGGCTCCTTGTTGCTGCCAGAAACCTGCTGCTAAGTACAGGGCCCTAAACCTGAGGGATCCCCCTCCTTGGGATTGCCCCAAGACCCCAAGCAGGGTGAGGATGATGCCCTGGGACGGGTGACTCAGTGCCACAGGCTGTCCCCTTCCTGGGGGACACACAGATCTCCACGAGTCTGCTCTTGCCCAGCCCAGCGTCAGAGAGCAGTGTGACAGAGTGGAGGGTCCCAGTGAACCCAAACCTTTCCCAGCTGAGGCAGGACCTCAGAGAAGGACACCCCATGTCCCGGCAGCACCTAGAAAATGTTTTAATAGCAAAGGCAGAGGTGGTCCCCACTGCTGGTTGTCACCCCAAGCATTGCTTGCCGATGGGTCCCAGTCCCCTCCACGGGGTAAGGCAGAGGGGCAGCAGGTGGCTGTGGGGACCTGCACCACTCTGTGGATCTGCACATGCCCGGGGAACTTGCACACCCCTGGGGACCTGCACATCCCTGGGGACTGCAGCTCCTCGGGCTCAGCTGTCGGTGAATTTTGCCTTGCGCTTCTCCACAAAGGCCGTCATCCCCTCTTTGCGGTCATCCTGGGAGGAGCAGAGAGGTGAGGTTTGGGGGGCTGTGGCAGCCCCACTATCCCCCCACCATGGGGCTGATCCCCCCCCACCATGGGGCAGATCTCTCTACTCACAGTGGCAAAGGTGGCGTAAAAGAGACGCTTCTCTGTCCTGTTCCCCTCTGTTAGCGTCGTCTCAAAGGCTGAGAGCAAGGGAGAAGTTGGGGAGACCCCTCTGCCTGGCCCCACAGCCCCCCCAAGGGGTTCCCAATTGGCCCCCCAGTCCCTACCAGCATTGACTGACTCCTTGGCCAGGGCAGCCACCAGCTTGGAGTTGCTGG